CAAAGAAACTTTGCACACAACGCAGGGGTGATTACCGCACCCCCACCCACACACTGAATGCAGTGTACACGTTAAAAACCATGTGCGCATGAGATTCCCACAGGTTATCACAATAATCGACCGAACGGCAAGACTGAAAACAAGTGCATTTATTGGGATGGCAAACCCGAGAATGGAACAACCAAGTGTGCAGGAAGCAGGATGCGGGTTCAGTATCCTGGTTAGCAGCTCTTTAATTTGGATTCCAAATGCCTCGGCACAAAATTAAGTGTTTCACCTGCGACTATGAAACCCGAAAAGTAATAAAAGTCATGGCAACTACCCAACTAGGCACATGGGTCAAATGTGAAATATTGACAAGGTAAGATTTTCCAATTATCGAACGACGCACACTACAATGGGAGATATGAGGACGAAGTGGAGAGAAATAAAGCTGCGTGTTGAATGCGAAGTCACTCATTCCCAATTAAAAAGACTGAAATAAATGCAGATAAATGTTATCAAACGAAAACCCGGCACGCTATATTCCAGGCTGATGGGAAAAAGAAATTTTCCAACTTCTATCGGATTACTACGCAACACATTGGAGAGGGATAGATTGAAAACAAGGTGGGCGGGAATGAAGAATCACTTAGGATCACCTACAACAGTAACTGAAGGCGTCAGTTAGCGAAGTATTTTAATGCACAACCAAAGGACTACCGTGATAAGAACAGGCTTCATATAAAAAATAGATGGATTGCACGCTTTCCCAGGTGTACACTTGATGTTTTCCCGCCAAAATGAGGACGGGCTATGTAAACCACTGGCAGTTTACGTGGGGCAGTTGGCTAAAACGCCTGATTCTAAACCAACCAAGAAGAGGCGTAAGAAACACACTCACATCCCTGTTTGTGGCAATGATCATCGGCTTGATCGAGATTCGGGGTGTCTTGGGCACCTTCAGCCTTCGATTCCGAATAGAGGGCGTATGATCCAATGAATCGGACACCGATCGCAAATGTCTTGCAGTTTCCAAACACCGCCAATCTGCCTTGTGGGTCAGACCCAGGTTAACCGAAAATTCACCTCGTCAGGCTGAGCGACCTGGCAGTATCCCGCCCACTAGCAAATCATGGGTATTTCTTTACTATAGAGATTACTGTACCGTGATTTCTTTGGCATACAGTATGTAACATACGCATGTGAAATACATACAAAGGACATCCAACTGCATAAATAGCACAACGCCCGAGTGTTTCTGAGCCGAAACCTACTGCGCTATACACGACGGTTTTTCAACTACGGTTTACATCTCTCATACAGCATTGGTTCGTTGCTCTGTGAGGTTGCATACGATTCAGCATACAGTTAAAAGACACCTGAGTTGAAATAAAAGTGGTTTTTCGCAGTTCAGATAACTAGTGAATGCAGCGGTGATTCATTCTATTTCAAAAACGAAAATATGATCCCACAAACTGGGCGGATAAAGTTCACCTGTACTGCACTGTGAGTCACTACCAATGCGTGTCGACCGATGCCAAAGGCATAAATTATGCTCAGCCAATAATGGAACCTTATGAATAAAAGTTAAATAAGTTCATTCTCGTGCATGTGACAGACAAAGTGAACTATAGGACAGAGCAGAATGTAATGTTGTTACGGAGTGGTGGAGGTGTGTTTTGGTCCTTAGGATCCCATCCAACACTCAACGGCTGAATACCACGTTTAACCTGGTAGGGCCTTGTGTGATTGATCAATCAGTCTCAGGGATTAGGTCACAGAAGACTATAAATTTCTTTAACAGCAGTTTTATGTCAAAACCATCTTTGTATGTGGACCAAAAATCTCCCAACTACTGCGGTATAAATGAGAATCATATGCATCGGAGTTTTATTTCAAGTTGCAACCTCAGAGACTTAGCCGTATCCGTTCACCATTTGGTTAGTAACTTATACTGCCGCTCCTGCCTTTAATGATCTCCCAACACTCAAACTCGTGCGGGTTTGACTTTCTGCATTTAGTAGCGAGGGTCTGTTTTTATTCCTTCTTCAAGGTGTCCGCAAGCTGCTGAGGTTTTGAATGTCATTCCATTCTTCTGTTCACAAAGTCCAACATATTTCATCCGGACTTAGATTCGGTTAGCAGACTAACCATGGGAGAAAAATGAATCCTCTTGCACAGTCCGAGAATGTGGTTATCCCTCAGGATCCACATCTTCATGTTGAAAATCTCAAGGAGATTATGGTTGTTCATTGGAGCGCAGTACTGGAACCCGTAATATTTCCCATCAACATAAGCCGTTTATTTTTGTCTGTGGTTCATTATGATCGCCCACTACCGTTCTTTCGTCTACAGCCGCCAATCTAAACACGCCAAATCTAGCGTCTCAATGTTGACACCCACGATGAGGATCATTCCGATAGATCGCTTGGGTTTCCAATGTTTTCACATTTCTATACGACCGTGCATAGAATAAATATGATATCTTTAAGCGGATATAGGAGTGGGCAAATCCATGTTAAATTAGATTGCACCGTGTGTTAGTTAAAAACAAAAGTTCGTCTTCTTTTCCCGGCCTCGAAATAGGTGCAATTCTAGTTCACCTTACATATTACCACGAGAACTGGTTGAATATAACACAAACTTGTCCCACCGCGTTTCACATTCCACTTCATCCGGTCCTAAGTTTTATCCTGAAAAATGCCTTGAATATATTTTTATTCTAAACTGTTCCCCATCTCCTTCCGAAAAGGTACAGATTCAGGGGAAACCGATGGGCAGGGTCAACCACGTGAAGTACTTAGACGCCACACCTGAAAGTAGCCTTCGCTGGCTCTTACATACCCAAACTGTTGCTAGTAAGGTGAAAGTTCTGTCTTTTCAGATAAGAAGACTGCGCCACATCCGTTATCACTTGTCGGTGATAGACACTTAAGTTCATCAGTGTGTCCCTCCTACACTCCCTTACTACTCCCCTGTAACTTAACCTGGTTNCTGGTTTGCTGAAGGTTGATTTCCAGTTGCACAGGTGTGGCCTCTCAATGATCAGCCGTGTCTACCAAGTTCCGTCAACTGTTTTGATTGGCAATATGAGTAATGCCATTTTGATGCGTGCCTGAAGTTTGCTGACAATATCCTATCCGATTGCACCCATCCTCGACACATTAACTTGCGTGCATCCGAATTCCACCCCTTTACAGGTTCTAAGTACAAACTTTTTCCTTCTTGCATATCTGCGAACAGAAACTCTTTGGTACCCAGTATAGCCCGGATACTGACCAGTTCAGTTTTTACAACCGTTAACCATGCACTTTCGTGCGCCCGTTTTGGTTGCAATCTTACATCTGCCCGTTTAGACGATGTAGTAGGAGAAAGGGGTGGGTAGTGGTGAGTGGGCTANGGTGGGTAGTGGTGAGGGGGCTACTGCTCGAATATTCCAACTTTTGTCTTATTCTTTGTCCTCCCTACCCAGCCCACTGGTGTTGTCCGTTCTTCTGGCCTGTAATAGTCCCTGAAGCAACTTGGATGTCGCTCGTCAATGGTCATTACCAAATAGCACTGTAAGTAATTCACCACGAGATGAGTTGCAGCTTCTGAAGCCTCGCCAATCACTGAATTTGAAGGCCTTTTACATGAGGACTCTGCAGATAGATCAACAAGCTTGTCTAGCGCGTACACTGGAATCATCGAGGACCAATATTCGCTGTGTATCGGAGACTCGAATTCAGGATCCTACTACTATAAGCCACTTGAGCACGTCAGATTTGTCCTCGAGGCACATTCTTTGCACAGCAGGAGACGACGAAGCCCGCTCAGTAGGTCAACGCGATGTAGGCATGGTACTCAGTAACATGTCCGAGTCCCCTCTTCTCGATTGGGTCCCTGTCAACAGTCGCTTATGTGCTGTGTGGCTCCAGGGTCCTATCAGCGTCCAGGAAAGCAACCTCAAAAGGTGTTTGTGCATCATATCACCATACGCACCGACCAACTCCCGTCCTGATACGCAGAGGAACGCTTTCTACGATAAACTCACCAAACTCATCCGGATGAGCCAAAGATGCGACATAGCTGTACTTGCTGGTTATTTTAATGCACAAGTTGGAAAACAGCGCATCGGAAGCTTACCTAAGCGGTTATTGTGCTCTGTCTTGCCAACGAACAGATAACGGTAATCAACTTCTTCAGTTCTGCGCAGACCATAATCTGTTCCTATCCAGTACCAACTCTCGACGGACGACAACGAAGCGCACCAGTTCACCTGGTACGCTAACTCAAATCGACCAAATAGCAGTAAGCCACTATTGGCGTGGCTCTGTGCAAAATTGCAGTTCCTGTTGGACATCCTGTGTTGTGCCTGATCACGCATTACTTTTTACGTCTGTCTGATTTTGTACAACCATTAACCATGCACTTTCGTGCGCCCGTTTTGGTTGCTATCTTACAGCTGCCCATTTAGACGATGTAGTAGGAGAAAGGTTGAAAATAGAGTCGAAGAGAAAATGGAAAATTTCAGTGGACTGAGGTTGAGAACAAATTGGGAAGATGCACGAACGCCGTTGTTCACGACACTCAGCCACTCAGTGTTTCTAATCACCGGTTACGATCACCATCTCGAGGTCCCCATCCAGGGCGCCTAACGCGACCTGTTTGACCGAGTCTCCTGGTTGGGATTTCTATGCCTTCTTACCAGGTCTTAGTTTGACCGTCCTTGGCCTTATTCCACCTATTGCTACCTCGGCAAACATCGCCGAGGCTCACCGTTACGGCCTATTTGGTGCCATGCGTCAAACATGTCCCAACCAACCTAATCTATGGAGGTCGACTACTTGCTCCAATGGACCACCGCGATTACCTAAACCTCTACGCCCAACCTCAGCATTGATCGTCCAGTTGCCCCACCAGATTTGTGCAATGTTGCTTCCATGTTCGGGCCCGAAAGACTATACAACTGGTTGGTTGCCGACTTTGAGGGATATGGCAGCGAAGAAACAGCAGTGACGTTCCTTTTGTAATTTCTTATCGGGCCAGAATGCGTGAAACACTATGTATGAACATTTCAATTGTGCACGTTTTGTGTTTACCATAGAGGTTCACTTTCCCCCTCTCGCAAAATAGGTCCAATCTGTGGTGGCGACGTGACGTGTCACTGAAGTTGAAAAGTCGCGTATACAGCATAATTGTACGGTCAGTTATGCTGTACGGTTGTGAGACCTTGAACTTGCCTTGTCGTTTAGCAGTGTTTTGGAATACATTCAACAAGAACTCGCTGTCTCATGCAATCCAGCACAATAGGCTCCGTTGGTTAGGATACCTTTTGCGTATGTCCGACGGTCGCCTACCGAAGCGCGCCTTGTTTGCAGTGACTGTTGCAGACTGGAGAAAGCCACGTGGAGGCCAGCAGATGACGTGGAGACGAGGCATGAAGAAATACACAAAACCATTAGGTAGAGTAGGTGTTCCTCATCTTCTGGGTTGGGGTCCAAAAGATTCCGAAACCGCATGGTCGGAGACACTGAAGATCATGGCTGCGAAGCGACAGCAATGGCGACCATGCTGTCACTTCTTATCAGACCAGAATGCTTGAACTAGTATGTATGCACAGTTGGGCTGTGTACTCTGTGTTGACCATAGAGGTTCGCTTTCTTTAGTGATGCATCCGCCAGGTGAGATATAGCTGCCCAGATAACGAGCTTTGTCTACCTCTGCTATTTCCCCAGTCAGAAAGAGACTGTGTGCTGGACCAACATTTTATACTTTGAAGATGCAAAACGCATGCCGAACATGACTACACTAGCACTCAAACTATCCAGAAAAGCTTGCAACTTACCTGGACCTTCACTTAGTAGTACAATGTCATCTGCATACTTTAGATCAAACAGTCTGCCACCTGGAAGTAAATCGATACCGCTATCCTCGCACGAGGATAGGGCTGTTTCAAGGTTTAAATCTATCACGAAGTTAAATAGAAACTGAGAGAGAGAGGACAACCCTCTGGATACTGACCGACAAGGAAAGTGTTCGTTCTGAGCTTTCTAATGCACTTAGTAATTAACTCATATTTTTCTACGTTTCACATCCCACTTTTTGATCTCTTTTTACCAGAATTGTAACGGTGGTCTGTTTTTTGGTTGAAAACTTGTATCTAACTCGCTAAAGCTTGAATGCAATACAATGCTTTGCGTGTATTGTGAGTCTGATGACGATCGTTGCACTGTATTTCGCTGTACGATGACGCCCTCACTTTTGACTCGGATAGCTGGCAGATCGAAAACGTATACCGTCAGTGCCGGCTAGCTACTTCGCTCAAAACGGTCTCATCAGCCACTCACAATTGCTGGAGCAACATTTGCCGCGCATCCTAACATCAACAAGTTTTATCTACGCCACTGAAATGACGAAACTCTAAATCCAAAAGTAGGGGAATTCTTGTCCGCATGTGTACCTCTTACGAATTCGGACGAGATGGATGGATGAAATTTCGACATCTAATGGTACAGGTTGTTATTGAACTGGATCATAAACAAAAATAATTGTTCAGGCTGAAGTTCCGGTAGAAACATATCAACGATATTTTCCATTCGAAATGATTAAGAGGGACACTAACCCAGCATCGTAGGACATTGAATAGTTAGTTAACCGGTAAAACGATAACGGAATAGCTTGTCCGTCAATCTGCTGACATAGACCGGAACGCGTATGCCTGTTCCCAAACGCGGTGGCGTAAGGCAGTTCTTCAGTGTACACATATTTGGGTGCACAAAGGAGCTTCATACCCCAGACACTGAACTGGTGACCTCTGACGACAGGTCGAATACACAAACAGAACTGAGGCAGGAGTAGGAAGCGATGTGAGGGCATTATGTGCATATTCATATCGATCGCGACGGTACACGCTAAATCGTGTTCGGGCGTCTGGCCCCCACCCTTTGGTCGACTGTTTAAGGTTCGCTTTCTTTTCCCGTCCCTAAGAATGGGTGCAATCTCTGTTCTCCTTATACATTCTCACTTATCTTGTATGCAATATGAGTTTGGCAGCGATCAGTGAAGTTCGCTTCACTGTTTTACTCTGTACAATAATGATGATGATGATGATGCATTTTTACACGTTTGTTTATCTAAGCTAAAAATTCCGTATAATTCTGGTGAAGGAAAAGATTGCCACTGGATTTTTCATGTGTCAGTATTTGAGTAACAAATTTACAACGGTTGATCGATTAGTTCACATTGATGCATTTTGTGGTCTTAATAATCATCATTGGCCCGCACCCGTCCGTGTCGTCTTGAGTTTGAATCCTGCCACTACCGCAACATGGCTCTCTTCAGCAACCCATCCTTTCTGTTAGAGCATTGTGCAATTCACCATTTCGATTTTCAATTATAAATTGCCAGTTTTCATCACCGCTTACTACCTTACGATTAGTTCCCTGTCTATCGCCTAACGTGGTGTCATGCGAAAAAGGTTCGAGTTACCTATCCATAGTATTTTGGGTTTGGCCTACTGTTAGTAAGCAGCGGTTAGCCAAGACGTGTATACCTCGCAGGTGTTTCAGATGTTAGAATTTTAATAATAATAATTATTATAATTAAAGACATTAGATTACTACTTAATGTGGTGGTGGACAAGCGGCTCAAATCCGTCTTTGGTGTACTTTGGACCGCTTCGGTGGTCCGTCGCACAATCGTGAATATAGAGTTTGTTTGTACAAAATAAACAGTTCCTCCATTCGTTACTGACGCGCCATTGAACAGTACATTGTGTTAGCTTTCCCAAATCCATTCGTTATAATGAGATTCTCATTCACTTGTTCCCAAATTTTAAACTCTACACAGCACTTGTTTCATTTCTTGCGGTAGTTTGCTATCAGCTTTTAAAATCATAGAGCGTTGGCACTCAAATGAATCACCTTGATTGTAGAACTGACATTTATGTTTTGGACACATTTAGCCACCCATAACAACAATATTTCTTTTATCTTTTGCTCTCTAGGTGGCGCAGAAAAAAGGATTACCTCATGTGTTTTACTGTCAGTTATGGCGATGGCCAGATTTGCATACGCAACACGAACTCCGACCAATCGCGAATTGCGAATACTCATTCCATGCCAAACGGGATGAAGTTTGCATCAATCCTTACCATTATCGGCGAATAGAAAATCCCGGTAATTGTTGTTATCTTTAAATATGATTGATCATTTCACTATATTCTATTAATTTCCCAAGATTTTCTTGAGTGTTATTCAACATGTTGGTAAAAGGTGACGCTTTCAATATATTTACAAAGCTGATCAACTTGTAGTACTACATGTGGGCTTATTAGCTTAGACGCTTCTGGAACTTGTCGGAGATTTTTTTAAATCCCTTTTATTTTTTTTTATTACATACTTTCGTATGATAAACAGCAGACGGGGCGAACCCCATAGTCAAGAGGACCCGCTGTTCGGTGATGGAAACCGGTGACCTAAGCTCCGGGACTTGGAGTGGCAAACCACATAAGGCCCCGCTAGCTTGGGCGTGGTATTAAATCGGATTATCGGATTCCTAATCGACAGCTTTTTCGTAACTGTTCCCTCTACTTATGTGATAGATATCTCGACTCCAGACGATGGTGAAAGTTTATGAAATCTGACTTTGGGAAAAGTCGAAAACTATATCCCCGGGGCGAGTGTCCATAGAACTCTCCTAAGCTATAGTTAAAAGAATTTAGCAAGTTGTTTCGTTGGTGCATCTACTCACCTTTTTCATCTATTCTTATTCCATATCATGTTTTCCGTCTCTTCACTGATAGGTCGGTCAGAAAGATGTGTAGTGGGATACTAATTCACCGATTACAGAAATTGAAGCTATCAGTGGTCAGGCTTTCTCTTGCCTCGGTGATGAATAGCCTTCATCTCTCTACATAGTAAATAGTTCATCACATGAGCGTTAATAGAAGAATGGTTATATATGTGAAGGTTGTTGGCCGTCATTCCACTAAGTCGTCCGGCTTTGTTCGAAGACGCACCTACATCCTCCTTTACGCAGCCACGCGCAAAATGTGAGGCGACATCGCTGTTTCAAATGAGCCCGTAGCCGATTGCACGGTTTATTTGTCTCTTTTGGAGAACATGTTCGGGTAACTGGAATAATGGACAGATTTAGTGTTGGGCTACTGTCCTCCTGTTCAGGAACCTTGTACTTGCTGTGTAGGATACGCCTCTGATGTTCCACGTGAGAACATGTGCCTAATGCAAGTAAATCGAATCTGAAAATGCTCATCGCTGTGGAACAATGACAGGTTCTGCCCATTTGTTCACGGGTGATACTATCGTTTACTTTTATCGTCAATGCTCGTATCAATCGTCCGAAACTGCCCAATCCCGGATATACGGTAGGGTATACTTTTAGAAAGTGAATTTTCGTTCGATGCACTGATGGCCACAGGTCAGTCCGAATACTCAATGGATTACGCCCAACGTTCGCTACCTTACACTTTCAAATTCGAGCCATCGCGACGCTGTTGAATGAATGTCACTGTCGCTTCGAAAAAGAAAACTAAAAAATTCCAATATCCTACCACGTGGATTAATCGAATTTGTGTTTATCTGAAAATCGTACACTAAATTCATAGCATTCTGGAGGTTTATATCCTGCGACGGATATTCCGCTGCGACTGACCGGATTAAAAACCCAAACATTTCTGTTACGTCATCAATGCTCGTAATCGTGTGATTATTACCTGCTGTTCTAACCTGTGTTTGTCTGATACAACACGTACCTTTGAGTATTTTCAGTCACCGAGATTTTCCTCCATGTTTAGTCGTGTGACTTTCTAGCTATTGCGCGTCCTGTTTTCCTGTCTGGTTAAACTATTTTTTTCACCCACCTAGATCGTTGAGGCAGCTCCGTCCGCCTTCATCGTCGCTTCTCATTTATTTTCCACATCGAATTGTCACCCTGTGGTCACAGCTTGTTCCGCACCGTCCACCTTGCCAGTGTTTATTATAGCTCTATTTATCCCTTGATAGCAATACAGGTCCATGGTTGGAAGCCGAGTGCCCTCCCAAGCATACACATCCGTTACCACCGGATTCGTTGTCTAGAAGTCAATGATTGTGACATCCTGACAATGAGTTTACCTACCTAGGAAACTTTACCATATCCTTCTGTATTTTTGACGGGGATTGGTCGTCAGCCGACGTTAATGAAACATGGGATTGATCGAAGCTTTTCTCATTCCGTGTTTACACTCCGGTATGTGCTGGCACTCGCTCCACTCTCTCCACCCGTGCTTCCCTGCCGTACATATGATTTTCATACACTGATATACTCCACCAGTAATGTTCGCAACTGCCATATGCTACTAATTTCCATTTCCATTTCACAAGCACACTATTCAGACTACATTTGATTATCCAAATGGTTATTATTTTGTTTTTAAGTCGTAAACACACTTCCTCCAACATACCAAGCTTCCCTCTACTCCACCAAAGTGGTAGCGAAAACCAGCAATCAAAGCCACTGGGAAAGATGCATGGTTAATGGTTGTATTGACTAAGACTGAAAGAGCATTTGAATAATTTCTGCATCCTTTCGATTGTACGCTACACTGTGAGCCTGTTGCTGTAGGCACTACATTCATTGCAGCTTTATACTCCGCTTGTCAACGATACTTCGGTGAATCTGTTCCCATTCTTGTTGATAGCACAGTAATTACTGGTAGTGCTAGACATATCATCAACTATCGGTATGTTCCTACCTTCGAATAGTTACGGTGTCTCACACAAAGTGTAACTTCTCCTATTTATTGTCATTGTTATTCGTTATGTTCGCTCCCGATGGATGTTTCTGTTCCAATTGGGTATGATCTCAGTTGGAACAGAAAAAAATGACTCCGAGGTTTATCGCATAAGCAAGGTGTGAAGAAGATGCTATCGTATTTCACGTAAACTCTTTTTGAATCTGCAATTTGTGAATAATTTTTTATCATATTCGATCAGAGTGCGTAACCCCTATATTCAGTATCCAGTCGAGTCCGCTCTTAATATTGTTCTGCTCTTTTGTGTGTTCGTTTGTTTTAAAACTTCCGAGAACGGTACGCTTCCGCCTGGTTATGTTCTCATTACGAGTCAGATGCGAGGTATTTCCGGTCCCGTGTGTATATCCTTGTTTGTTTTGACCGCTGGCTCGTCACACTGCTGCTTCCCCTGCCTTGCACTCGTTCTCTTTACGTGATGCGAGATAATCCTTTGTCTTATCGATCAGCTCTCCTGTGTGCCTTAAAATTCGCCATTCCAAAAGCACTTGTTTGTGCATATATCGACTAATGACAGAAAATTACAACGAATGACACGCTCGTGCCATTCTTCTGTGTGTGTGTGTGTGTGTGTGTGTGTGTGTGTGTGTGTG